TGACGGGCGGCGGGAGGGGCGGTGCCGGGTGTGGCGCGTGGGTGAGGTCGGCCGGGCAGCACGGGGCGGGCCATGCGCCCGCCACTGACACGTGCCGCGCCGGCCTGGCTGCAGAGCAACGGCCACTCTCGGCGCGCGCCCAGCGTGTCGGAGGCGAGCAGCGACGGCTTCTGATGCCTCCACACCTTGCTCCTGCTAGCCATTCACCTTGCTTGGATGTTCCGCTGCCCTCAGCTTGCTGTGTGTCTGTCATCTGCTGGAGTGCCTGCTGGACCGCTGCTGCTGTACTGTTATTCTTCTGTTCTCTCTGCTTCCATCGGGCAGGGTACATCCATGCCGTCTTCCGCTGCGTACCTGTTTGCATGTAATCCCACCCTGCATGGTTGATCAGAGGAATAAAACCCCACTGGAGCGCAGTGTGTGCCTATTCGCATTCGCCGTACCGCCAGGTCATCGGCGGCGGGGCAGCAAGGGAGTGGTCACACGCTTCTGGGTCATGCACGAACGTTTTCTGCATCCCCGCTGCCTTTGGCACATGGCAGGGCCTTTCAGTTGTTCAGGGGGAGAGTGGCGGCTGGTCTTCCCGCCTCATGGCCAGGCCATGCTGCGGATGATGGATCTATGAACGATGCCCTCTTTTTTAGCGCGATCAGCGGGCCTGGCAGTCTGCCTGGTGATGCACGCAGCCACCGGTGCTGCTCTCCCCACCTTCCAGCCCCCGTTGCTGGACTTGGAGCGGCAGCTGATCGTCAAACTGAAGCCTGGGAGCAGTGGGGATAGGGTGGCAGCGACGGGTGTCGACCCGCTGCTCGGGGTGACCCTGCGGTCAGCCCCGCCGCCGCCAGACGGCGGCAGCGCGGTAGCGCCCTCGGTGCTGCATGGGCGCCTGGAGCCCGGCGCCTCCCTGGCTCAGGCCCTGCAGGAGCTCAACGCCAGAGAAGGTGCGGGGCTGTGGGGCTGTGAGGGCCCGCTCCACATTGCTTGCTCCAAGCCACCCAGGTCGCCTTGAGCGGGACACACACAGCCAGACATGGAAGGGCACCCATGCTGCCTGCAGATGTGGAGTGGGCTGTGGAGGATCACATCATCCTTCCGGCACGCACCCCCAACGACCCGCTCTACTAGTGAGCACCGCGCAGCAGCAGTTGGAGGCAGCGTGACACTGCCGTGACCAGGCGGTATTGGTCGCGGCTGCCCCATGCAATGCGACAGCCTGTCCCGCCCCCCTCCCGGTTGCGGTGCAGCAAGCAGTGGGCGATGCAGCGGGTGGGGGCCGAAGCTGCATGGGACTTGTCGGTGGGCGGCGCGGTGGGGGCATCCAAGGCGCCGCCGCGGCGGGCGCCTCCACCTGTGCCCCCACCCCGCGGCAACGCAACTTACAGCGCCAACGTCGTCGTGTGCATTGTGGACTCTGGTGGGGGCTGCTGCTGAGGATGCTGCCTGCCCCATGCATGCAGTGGCACAGCGTGTGTGTTCTGCATGCACGGGTTGCGCCTCGGTGCGGGGCCCAGCTGCCTGCCTACCCACCCAGCAGGCATCGACTTCCAGCACCCGCAGCTGGCCGCCAGCATGCTGCCAGAGGTGGGGTGGAACTCTCTGGACCCAGCCCTGCCGCCGCTGGACAAGCTGGGGCACGGCACGCACGTGGCAGGTGGGCAAGCGCACTGGTGCTGCACTTCTCTAGCACACTACCAGCCGTTGCCGCATGCCCTGCACAGTGCCTGCCTAGGCGCGACCGCGTGCCGGGTTGAGGCCTGCTGGAACTGTTGCGTGGCGCAGGCATCGTGGTTTCCTCCAGCAACGACGACGAGCAGGTGGCTGGCCTGACGTGGGGGCCCTCCTCCGGCTCTGCAGTCCGCCTGCTGGCCTGCAAGTTTATGTCCGACCAGGCGAGGGAGCTCTCTGTGTGTCAGAGGGCCGTGCTGGGACGCTGTGCCCGCCTGCCTTCCACCTTGCCGCCACCTGGCCACCCATGGCAGGCCGGCAGGCCAGCCGCGGGTGACGAGGCAGCAGCTGCTGTTCATGCCAGCTCGGGCCAGGCCTGCGCCTGCTGCCTGCCGCAGGGGTATGGCTACACCAGCAACGCGGTGGCCTGCCTGGATTACTGCCTGGCGCGCGGCGCCGACATCATCAGCGCCAGCTGGAGCGCGGGCACCGCGCCCAACCCGCCCCTGGAGGAGGCGGTGGGCAGGGCGGAGCGGCGCGGCGTGCTGCTGGTGGCGGCCGCAGGTGGGTGGGTGGGTGGCAGGGTGGCGTGCAGGCTGGCGCGCCGGGCCGGCAGCCGAGCAGCAACAACACCGAGGCTTCTGGAGGCTCCCCTGATTGGCGTGCATGGCGGGTTGCTCGCCAGCGTCCACCCCACCCCAGGCCAGCGCCTCCTGCCCCCCTTGCATGGCCTGTCAGGCAACCACGGCTTTTACCTGTCGGAGGTGGCCACCTATCCGGCCTCCTATGGGCTCAACCACAGCCTGGTGCTGACGGTGGGGGCCAGCGGGGTGCTGGACGAGTGGGCAGACTACGCGAGCTGGGATGAGAGGGTGAGGGCCAATCGGGGAGCAAGTGCATTTGTATTGGCCTGCATGCTCTCGATGTTCGGCTGCACACAGCCGCTCCACCGGTGCTGCAGGCGGTTCACCTGTCAGCGCCGGGCGCCACCATCCTGTCCACCTGGCCGGGCGGGTTTGTGGAGTACAGCTCAGGTGGGCAGGCTCGCACCTCGCTTCTCGGTATGACTCCTCTCTCGTCATGACCGTCTTGTGCCAAGCCTCCAAGTGCACTGCCCTGCCCGGCGCTGTAGGCACCTCCATGGCGGCCCCGTTTGTCAGCGGCGCCGCCGCGCTGCTGCTGGCGGCTAGCGGCAAGCGCCTCACGGCGCTGCAGGCCAAGCAGGTGCTCCTGGAGACGGCGGAGAAGCTGGAGAGCCACCAGGGGAGGTGCAGCTCAGGGGTGGGTGGGGCGCCTCGCTGCCTTTGCGCCACCGAGGGCCGCCATGCATGCGCGCATGGTGATGCGGATGCTTCCCCTTTGCCACGCCACCCGCCACCCATCACCTTACGTGCACGCTGCAGGGACGCCTGCGGGTGGATTGGGCGCTACAGCGCACGCTGGGGCTCCTGGGCATCCCATTGCCCCCATCCCAACCGCCGCCGCCGCTGCTGCCCCGCCCACCACCACCACGCCCCTCGCCTGGGGCATTACCGCCGCCACAGCGCACTCCGCTGCCCGCCAACCTTGGCTTCAGTGTAGGACGGCCGCCTCCGGCTGCCAGCAGCAAGCCAGCGCCAGCGCAGCGCAAGCCATCGCCAGCGGATACTTCGCCGCCGCCGCCGCCCAAGAAGCGGAAGTCGCCGCCGCCGCCGCCGCCGCCATCCCCGCTGCCTAAGAAGCGGAAGTCGCCGCCTCCGCCGCCTCCACCGAAGAAGACGATCAATCCTCAGGGCAAGAGGGACAAGTACAAGCCCTGCAAGAAGGGCAGCAGCAAAAAGTGCAAGCACCGCTGCGTAAAGCAGGAGGAGACCAAGCACGGCAAGCGCAGCAAAGAGTGCGGGTTCTACCGTCCTGCTTAGCCCTGCGATTCAATTTTGCACTGTTTCTTGAGAGCATGCATCCACTTCATTCACTTATCAGACGAGTACAGAAGAGTACATGTGTTATGAGCAGACAGAAGGGCGGTGCGTCGCGGTGGCGCCCGCTGGGTGCGTCATGCTGCAGCATGCTGCCCTCCGAAGGCCTTTTCCAGAATGGCCCTATAGCGCTCCTGCTCATCTCCTGCTCGCACCCTGAGCTTTGTGTGGGCCGCGAGCAAGCCCTGCCAACTCCGATTGCGATAGATCTGTTGGCGCCAACTTCACCATCCAACATCCCACGCACGCGTGCTGCTCAATTGGCAACCCTTCTCTAGAAGGTGGTCACCAGCCTACAGCCGGGGGTTTAGTCCCCCGAGGAGGCCTGGCGCCCGCGCGCACCGAGGCAATTGGGGCGGACTCGTTATATACAGGAATGCGGGCCTGGGGCGCTGTCGGAGTTCTCCTAATGCTGGCGGCGGGGGCCGCCTCGTCGGAGGTGGGTGGGTTGGTGGGCAGCGACTGGGCGGTGGGCCGCCGCCGCCAGCGCAAGCCCAGCTGCAGCTGCCTGCGCCAACCTGCGACTGCCTGCCTGGTTCGCCATCTTTCGGAATATTATTATAGTCACACTATGAATTTTTTATGGTTAATAATATATATGATTGGCCGTTACCTCGATGGGCCGTATCCGTGCGTTGCAAGCAAGTCAGAGCCCCGCTGACAGCACCGGCGCTTGTTTGGTGCAGGTGGCGCACCCTCAGTGCCTCTACACCGGCACGGGCATCAGCCTCTACGGCGCTGATATGGCCAAGGAGCAGATCCCCGCTGCCACGCCCTACACCTGCTGCTACCTGTGCGCGGTGCGTAGGGCTGCGGCTGCGGCAGCGGGCGACGCCGGCCCGGCGCACGCTCCCCGCTGGTTGCTGTCCCCAACCTCACCCTGCTGGCTGCCCCATCCCCGCTGCAGATCACGGAACGATGCGTCGCGTTTGAGTGGAATGCCAGCGTGAATGGCGGCATGTGCTACCTCAAGGACTCGACTGGGATCGTGCCCCGCCCCCTGGAGGGCGCCCGCTCCGGCGTGCTGGTGTCGGAGGGCGCCGCCATCAGCGCCGCCACGATAGCAGCCAACAACGCTGGCGTGCTCACCAGCACGCCCACAGTTGGTGGCAGCGGCAGCGGCTCCCCAACCGCTCCAACCTCCGACCTCTCCTGCGCGCCGCCCAAGACGGACGCGTAGCCTGCCGCTTGTACATGCCATGCTTGCCCCTGTATGCTCCCTTCAGTTCATTGCCGTATGGTCATGCCAATTCTGCATGCCACATTTTTCGGATTCACTTGTAAAGCTAGCACTAAAACCTGCGTGTGGTGGTTGTGGCCCACTCAGTGTGGCTCCTCTGCGGGGCTTTCAGGTGAAACCACTCGGCAGGCCAGCGGGCGGGTGGCGGGCCGCAAGGGGCGGGAGGGCGGGAGGTGCGGCGGGCTTCCGAGCGCTGGTCGGCCCGATCAGCTCGTTGTATCGATCCGCCATTGAATAGGCCACCGAAGCGAAGGGTGTCGGGAGGGTGTCGGAGCGGAAGAGTTTTCTTCTTCCTGCTCCACTCATTTCGCTTGCTGCTCCGCTCTCCGCCTGTGTTGAAGCTGCCCCGTGCCCTGTGCTCCGCCCCCGCTTGTTTCAGCGCTCCCATCATGCTCGCTTCAGCGCATCGGTGCACATCAAGTGCCCCGTGCGTTACGGTGGGCCCCAGCGGGCGGCGCACATTGGTAGTGACGGCGGCGAAGAAGGCAGCAAGGTAGGGTGGGTTTACGCCGCCCGCCGGTTGCCGCTGCCGCCGATTGGCACCGACGCCAGCCACACCCCCGCCATCGCCTCGGCCACAAACACGCAGCCCTCCCTGCCCCATTGTTCTAGCAGCCCCAAGCGCCGCCTCGACTCGACGGGATACATCGTCGACAACTCGGAGCGAGGCAACATCTTTGCCGTGGAGCCGCGCCAGCTGTACACCAGCAGCCCCACCTCGTCCCGCGCGGCCAGCCAGGGGCTGGGTGGCCTGCAGGGCCTGCTGCTCCTGGCCGCGGTGTGCGGCGTGGTGGCTGTGGCCACCCTGGGCGTGGCCTCAAACCCTGAGGACACCCTGCAGGTGGGCTGGCCGGCAGGGGCGGCAGGGCTGGAGCCTCCACAAGGGCTTGTGCAAACTGCCAGGCACGTGCTGATGTGTCATGTCCGCCCCATGCTTGATGCCCTGCCCAGCGGCCCTTGGATACATGCCTGCGCAGGAGGTGGCTGCCAGCGGTGGCGCCCTCGACAGCCTGAGCTCTATTGCTGGGCGGCTGTCGGCGGGTCTGTGAGGCCCCATGGCGCCAGCGCTGCACCCCGTTTCGCATGCGCCCAAGTTTTGGAGAAGAGCGATCAATCACTGAAGTTGCAATTTTGAGGATGCCGGCCTGCAATGGGTCGATTACTGCTTTGCATCCAGAGCGATGCCCTCGCATCTGTGCCTCGCCATTGTTTCACCGCTTGCACCCCCGTCCTGACCATCTCATCCCATCCCACATCCATCGTTGTAACGCATGCCATTTTGTCAGGGTATTCCGCCATTAAATGGGCCCAGCTGCTGCCAGCACGCGCTACCCCAGCGCTGTGCCCGGGATTCTCTTTCACACGCGTTGGTGCCCGACAAGGCTGGTCGTTGGGTGGCAGGCAGGTGGAGCAGGCTGGAGAGACAGAACAACTAAAGTGAGATTCACGGGCCCACACGAAGGTGAGTGTTATGCTCCCGTCGCCTGTGCAGGCCCGCTTATGCTGCTGATTACATTGTACATTTGCAAAGCAGAAACACACAATGGCAACAGGGCATGACGTTGCAGAAGCAACACAACACCGTGTGTGGTGCCTCCAGGACCCAGGATCCAGCCGCGGTCGCAGCTGCTGCTGCGCATCTGCTACTGCTCCTTGCCGCACTGTTCTGTCTCCTCAAGCCAGCGGCCGCGGCACCAGTCGCATGGCAGGCAGTCCAGTCAGCCATGCTGCTCAGCCAAGTGGCCACAGCTGATCAGCCCTGGCAGCCGCTTCAGTCCTGCTGTTCGCCGCCGGCTGAGTGTGGGTGCGGGTGGCCCAGGCTGGCCTTCAGGTGCTGCCCCTTGGCCAGATCGATCAAATCCTCTTTTTCTACCGGCGCATCCGGGCCAGACATGTCTACGCCATGGCTTGTAAGCCACTCCTTCAGCTGGTGCACCTGCAGTGTGGGACATGGGGCGGGAGAGCGCAGCGGGAGGGCAAGTCAGAACGCGCAGAGCACGTGCAGGCGGTCCTTCTAGAAGCTGCCTTTGCCTCACTCACCGACATGTGCTCGAAGTCTGGGGCGCCGCCTGCATACGGCATGGCACCACGGCAACTTAGCAAGACGTGAACACTGAAGGTGCAGGAGGAAGAGTGGCCGACTGCCAATGCCGGTGCCGCCGCGGGCGTCGGCTGCCCCTGCACACACTGCGTGCCCGCTACCTCGTTTCCGCATCTGCTAGTTCTACGTCACCCCGCCACGGCGCCTCACCAGCTTGCGCAGTGCCTGTGCCCTTCTCCATTGCGCTGCCAAGCCGAGGTGTTTCGGACTTTGCGGGGGCCTTGTCGGAGGGGTTGGCTGATGCTTGATTGTACGGTGCAGGTGTCTGTGGTGGGGAAACGGAAACGATGCGATGTCGAACGGGACAAGCGTCTAGCGTGACATGCACGAATTGCCAGCTGGCCCCGCCAGCTCAGCTGCAGACACCATAGCAGCAGCAAAATCAGGTGCCGCTAGGGCGCAAACCAACCAACACTCCCGCGGGCGCAGCATGTCGGGAGCACGCCCAAGCAGCCAGGAGCCAGAAGAGAGCGGCTACTCAGGTTCCGACAGGGCTGTCGTCCAGCAGAGCTCGGGGTGCCGCTTGCAGCACTCATAGATCGCAGGGCAGGGGACTGCGGCTGCAGTGAAGGCATCTGGCCTGTGGGAGACGGCATGGGGTGACCCTTGCAGTGGGGTGCCGGCTGCCCTGTGGCGTTGCTGGTCCGCCTCCTCGCCTTCCCTGGTTGCTGCTTTGCAGCAACAATCCTTTGCTGCTTCTTGCGTTGCAGATGATAAATATGAGGTGATTGATGACGAGCTGTTCTTCCCTTTCCGTTGTCGAATATGTGGCACCCTTGTGTCGCAGCAGGTGCCACGTGTGGGGCGAGCAGCATGGGTTGATTCATTATCACGCTATGCTGCTGTCAACAAGTGCCATGCCCCGGAGCGCCAAGCTTCGGATCGGCACCTTCGAAGTATGCAGCAAGCACGCGAAAGCATGAGAATCCTGGGCATGTTTTGCCGCTGTGCCAACCGCCGCTGCTATTCACCCTGCCATCACCTTTCCTCTCCTGCGCCCTTTGCTGCAGGAGTACGAGAAAGGCATGGGATGCTTACTATGCAACAGATGCTGGCCCAAGAATGACCTGATGACCTATTATGTGTCCTGCGACATCATGATTGATGGCAACGGCACCATATGGAGCAGCATGCCCGATGACTACGGTGCTGCTTTCTTACTTTCTTTGTCGTTGCTGTTCACTATGGTGCTGGGCTACCTGCCTGCCCCGCCTGCATGCTCCCCCGCTTGCCTGCTTCCCCACTCACCAGCTTCCCGCTCCAACGCCTGCCAGCCTGCCTGCACAAACCGCCTGCTGCCCCGTATTGGGTGGTACTGCATGCAAATGGCTTCTGCTCGCAACTGCACATGCCCACACAGGCCCCCCTCTTGTGCTTCCTGTGCTGTGTCGGTTTCACAGAGCCAGAGACGGAGCTCCAGAGCCTGCCAATCTGGGCAGAACACCCAGAGGAGGCACACTATCGGTAACGTTAATGCTGCTGGCCATGTCTGCCTCGCCTGGTTGCCTGCTGCGCGCATGCTATGTGCCGCCAGTCAACAGTGCAATTTCCATCAGGCATCTGCACTTCTTTCCCTGCCATGCAGCCGCTTCCCACTATCAAAGCTACGGGAGCAGCTGGAGGTGGAGAGGCGGGGCGGGCCCTACACCTGCTTTATTTGCGGCCAGCAGCACATGGCGCCGGCGCCAGAGCCTCTGCTGCCGGGTATGCCGCTGGCATGGCCGCCTGTGGTGCAGCAATTTGCGGAGAGGGGGGAGGACGAGGAGCAGGCTGGCGACGAGCAGACGGGGAACGCAGCAGAGCAGCAGGAAGAGCAGCAAGAGGACGTTGAGAAGGAGCAGGAGGATGAGCAGCAGGAGGAAGAGGAGGGTAATGACCAGCCGTCCAGCAAGAAGCAGAAGATAGGGCATTGCAATGAGCGGCCGGGCCAGGAGGCGGGTGGCAAGAAGGCAGCAGATGATAGATAGATAAATATATAGATAGATAATAAAAGAAATGCAGCAGCACAGAAGCCTGGGACACGCTGCAGACGCTCCAGTGCCAGCAATGCCGTTGGTTCAGCCTACATGTGAGGTGCTGTGAGATACTGTGAGGTTACCCTAGCACATGTGACAACCTATTGCCGCAGTTCACAGCACAGAGCTGGATCCAGATAGAACGTTTGAAGCAGGAGCAAAACAGGGGTGCACAGGAAGAGCGCTCAATGCCACGCCACCTGGCAGGGCGACAGCACGGCTGGTCACCCCAGTGCCGCCAGCCTCGGCCCTGCGCGCCAACATCGTGCTGCCTTCACAAGTCGCAGCTGCCGCCTCCAAACAGGCACGCGCCCCAGCGCTGGTGGCGCAGGAAGGCCTTGCGATACGCCTCTGCCGCCTCGTGCTGTGGCTGCACCACCTCCGCCTCTGCAGGGCAGCAGGCAAGCACACCAACGTCATCAGGAGGCTGGAGGCTTGTCGGCAGGTGCCGCTGCTGCCATGCGCCTGTTTCAGCTCAAGCACACACGCACACGATGGGCGGGAGCAAGCCCCGCTGCCCCACTGCCTGGCGTACCCATGGGCGGCGGGTGCTCTGCGACATACTGCGCTATGGGTGTGCCTGTGTGCACCGCCGCCGCCTGCAGCGCCGCCCCCAACGCCGCAGCCTCTGGGTCGGCTGGGAAGCGCAGCGGCAGCTGGAAAGCGTCCGCCACGATGCGCCGCCACAGCCTGTTCTTGCTGCCGCCGCCCACCACCAGCAGCTCCCTGCAGGCATGGCGTGCAGCATGCGGCCTTCTATTCATAAAGGGACAGGGCGTTCACAGCAACTGTGTCTATTCCAGCAGGGCTGGCGCTGGCAAGGAGGTGCCAGGCAAGGCGGGCAGGCGAGCTCACGTGGCGGCCACCCCAAAGTCTTGCATGCGCTGCATGCCCGCCACCAGGCTGAAGGTGGCCCCCTCCATAGCTGCCCGATAGAGCAGGCCAGGGCGGATAAGGCCGGGGCGCAGGCCTGCAGGGGCAAGGGCCAGCCCGGGAGCCTGTGCTTCGGTGTAGCCTGGGAGCATGGGAGAAGGGCAGCAGGCACCACCGAGCCCCCAGCCACGTAGCACAACCAGCGTGCCCACAGCTGCCAGCCTCGCCACCCACCCAGCACGCCCCCCGTCGCGTGCGGCCAGTTGGGTGTGCGCTCTCCCGCCAGGTAGGGCAGGAAGGTGACCCCGGAGCAGCCGATGGGCTCGGTGGCGGCCGCCGCCGTGATGTCCTCGTGGCTCATCCCAAACGAGTGCCGCACCTGCTGGCAACACAGCATGGTGGGCAACGCCGACAGCAGCAGCGCAGGGCGGTGGCACGGCCTGGTGAGGGCAAGCTTGCTGAGGGGTTAGAGTGAACCAGGCTGGCAGCTGGCAGGACAGACGGGCGCCAGTATGCAGCCGAGGCTGTCTGTCTCTGCACATGGCCCGCACCACAATCCCCCCCACCTCCTCTGCCACCCCTGTGCAATTCAGGGTGCATAGCAGCGGCAGCCAGGCGCCAGCGGCGTCGCAGAAGGGGCAGATGGTCCCCGTCGGGTCCAGCACAGGCTTGCCGCTGGGGCCAAACAGCGTGCCTGCAGCGCACAAGGCGCACGGCACGATGGGCTGTACAGTTGGGGGTGTGAACACACAAACCTCTGGGAGGCAAGATGCCCCACCGGCCAGCACCATGCGCCTGATGTTGTCTGGCCGCCGGTCACCCACCCGAGGTGCCCAGGCTGAGCACCCAGCTGCCCTCCCGCACGGCGCCAGCCCCCAGGGCGCTCATGGCGTTGTCGCCGCCGCCCGGCGCCACTTGCACATCTCCCGGCAGTCCCAGCTGCGCTGCCACCTCGGGTCGCAACGTGCCCACCACCTGCGGCAGCAACAAGCGGTGCCGGCAAAAGACGGGGAAGCTCAGGGGGCACCTGGACGCTGCTGACCCACACTGCATGGCTGCCTGCCCCAGCAGCGGCTGATGAGCCGCGGCAGGCGCACGCCGCACCTCCTGGGGCCCAATCAGCTCCGGCAGGCTGCCAGGCAGCCGCTCGGTATCCAGCTGAGCGATGCGCTGGCGGTCCCAGGCGCGCGCCGCGGCATCCAGCAGGCCCGTGCCGCTGGCATCAGATGCCTGCGGAGGGGGCGTGGGTGGGCGGGGAGCACAGGGGGCTGGCTGCATGCACGGCGCGTGCTGGGGCAGGCAACGGTGGCCTGGCCAGCCACTGGCATAAGTGAAGGCAGGCCAGGCTGCCACGTGCTGTGCACACAAACAAGGGCTTAAGGAGCAGTTCAGCCCTGCCCTGCCCTGCCCAGCACAGCACAGCGCATCGCAGCACAGCGCGGCACAGCGCAGCACAGCGCGGCACAGCGTGCGGCGCTTGCCTCCATACAAAACCGGCCGATCAGCCACCAGTTGACATAGTCGTGTGGCAGCAGCACGTGGGCCAGCCGCGCCCAGCTCTCCGGCTCCCGCCGCTTCATCCACAGCAGCTTGGAGGCTGCGGCATGGCGTGCGCAGCGAGGCCGGCTGTGTCGGTGGAGGGGGCGAGGCGGCAGCGGCAGGATGGTGTGATGCCAGGGGACAGCCCCACAAGCTGAGCAGCTCGGGATGGTGTTACCGCACACCATGGCAGCAGCTAGCTGTCACCATGCACCCTCCAGCCGTGCCTGTGAAGGCGGGCACCAGCGTGGATCCGTACAGCCGAGACAGTTCCTCCGCCTCCTCGGCGCTCTCCAGATCACACCACAGCTTTGCTGCAAGAGCCGGCAGCAGAGGCCAGGCAGGGTGGGGGAGCGCATCGATGTGAGCCAACTTCTACCCCTGCCAGGCGGCCCAGGCGCAAGCCAGCTGGCGCACCTGGCCGGATGACGTGGCCGTCGGCATCCAGCGCCACCAGCCCGTGCTGCTGCCCAGACACCCCGATGGCCTTGACCCGCGCCGCCGCCGGGCTGCCGCCGCCGCCGCCCGCCTCGGCCAGCGCATCCTGGATCGAGTCTATGCAGGCCTGCATGGCGGCGCGGTCTGGGCAGGCGGTCGGCGGGCTGCCTGCCCTGCTGAAAAGGCAGGTGGCTGGGCGAGCAAGCTGAGCAGCCACTCGCCTCGATCCACGTCGCCGGGTGCTGCTCGGCCTGGCCGGGGCGGTGCGAGGCGAGGGAGTAGCCCACGGAGCCGCGGCCCACCACCTCACGGGAGCTGGCCTCGTAGACGCAGCACTTGGTGGACTGGGTGCCCACATCCACGCCTATGTACAGGCTGTGCCCGCCGCCGCCCATGGATGCCACGGGCATGCGGCGCCGCTGCCTGCGCGGCTGCTGCCGAGTGTTCGCCCCAAGACACTGCTGGCGGGTACACGTCAGCGGCCTTGCCTGGTGGAGCATGCGGCCGGGGCGCGGGGCAGGAAGGCTGGGGCGGCACGCGCTGGGAGCAGGCGGCGGTGGGGCGGCGATGTGCTCAGGTCGGTCGGGAGCAACCCCGCCAGCAGCCGGCTTCTGCACGGCACTACAGCGATGACAGCAGGGCGATTTCTAAAGAACGATGAACTCTTTTGGCGGCGGGCGCTCCTCCGATACAGCGCAAACTCGGCACGCGAGCGGCAGGCCTGTCCACGCGTCAGTATCGGCCCTCAGTGTGATCGAGGCGTGCCGCCGACACCTCCCAGCTTCAGCAAGTTGGGGTGCCTCGTCAGCGCCACCCGTCCGTCACACCTGCAGGACCCATCCAGACCTGCACCATGCATGTTGTCTGAGCTGGAAACGCACATGAATGACGCATTCTGCAGCTTTGGCCCAGCACAAAATGCCTCACTGATAGTGCATTCAGTGCCAGAGGCCCACAAGGTTGTGAGCATGCCGTCCGGAATTGCAATCTCAATTGACTGCCATCTGGCAGCGCGCCTGCCCGCCTCCTGCCAAGAATTGCGCGCCCTTGCAGGACTGGCCAGCCACAGGGCACGATGTGGAGCTGAGGCAGAGGAGTAAAAGCCACAGCCAGGCTGTTGGGCGGGCAGCGATGTACAAGGCAAGGAGGAGTTGCCAATCAAAGGCATTGAAACTGAGCCGACATATGATACACGTGCACCTGGCGGCGCCACGGGGAGCTCGGCAGCTCGGCAGCGCCGGGCATGGAGCACAGGGAGGCGGGCGGGCGGGCTGCCGCCTCAGAACACGCGCATGATGTACGCCTCCACCGGGTCCCGGCACATGGGGCACAGCTGCACGTTGCTCTCCTTCAGGTGCACGGCGCACTCGCGGCACAGGCACCTGCGCGCGGCAGGCACAGGGGCGAGCGCAGGACGGGCATCAGGCGAGGCAGGGAGCCCTCCCAACTGGACTCTGCTCACCGGTGTGGCGCTCTTGAGCCCCGGCATCAGCCGCTGCACCCGCTCGCATCCAGCCCTCTCATCCGCCCGACCGCTCCCATCCCCCTCCTCCCGCCCCGCCCGCCCACCTGTGCACCGACTCTCCGTGCAGCACGCCCGCGGTGGCGGCGGCATCCATGCAGAACACGCAGACGGAGGAGTCGTCTGTGTCGGCGGCGCCCGCCGCCGCCGCCGCCCCCGACTCGCTGGCGGGCCGGCTGGGCGGCGCGGCGGGTACGTCGGCCAGCCAGGCGTCGTCCTGCAGGCGCGGCGCCGACATGCGGCGGCCCGAGGTGCTGAGCGGCAGGTGCTGCGGGGGGGCGGAGGCGCCGCCGCCGCCGGCCACGCCCGCCGCCAGCGGCCCCGCCGGATAGTCCAGATCCAGCAGGGCGGGGGCGGTGGGGCGGCCAAAGGAGTGCAGGTTCTCCACGCCCACGCCGGCGGGCGTCTCGGGCGCGGAGCTGGCCGCCGTGCCCGCCGACGCCGCGCTGGCTGCGTGCTGCAGCGTGTCGTGCTGCTGCAGCTGCGGCAGGAGCAGGTGGGGGCACGCGGAGTGTGGGAGCAGGCAGGCGGGGCAGCCCCAAAGCGGCAGGGGCAGGACAGGGGCCTGCTGGCTGCTGGGGCGCATGCAGGCGGCGACACTCACCGCCGCGGGCGGGCCGGCGGCGTGCGCCTGCCCATCCCCAAAGTGCACTTGCGGGTAGAAAGCTCCCCCCGTCAGGTAGTCGGCAGCAGGCGGCGCAGCAGTGGCCGGCGGCGGCGCGCTGGGGGCGGCAACCGCCGGCGGCGGCAGCTGGCTGGCGGCGGCGGCGGCTGCTGCCCGGGGGGCGCCGGGGGCG